CGCGCCATTCATGAAACGCGGACGTCGGAAACGGCGAGACGACGTCGCGTGCAGTCGTTACAAGGCGCGTCCGGGAAAAATAGTTTCGACCGCCGCGTACTAGCCGCAAGGGGTCAATCACGAGGGTTAAGATGTGTACTTGCGCGTGAACAACGCATGTCTCGTCCGACCACGCACCAACACGCTCGCGTGATTGCGATATACGTCGGCTTTTTCTCGCCGTAGTCGTTGCCGCCATCACCACCATCACCACCACCACCACCATCAGCATCACCACCATCACCATCGCCAACTCAAGACGAGTAGCGGCGACGTGACCGTTTAAAACGTAACGTAGCAATTAATCGGAAGAACGATGAACGGTCCGGTCCGTTGCTGGCCATCATCGCCGCCGCCGCCGCCGCCGCCGCCGCCGATCGTAATCGACGTCTGCGCCTTCTACCTCGCTTCTCTCCCTTCGCGCCCGATCGCGCGTGATAGTAGGTCGAACTGTTTCCCCCGGCGGGAGAGAGAATCTTCATCATCATCATCTTCTTCTTCCCGCGAAAGGGGCCCGCCCCGCGTGAAAGGAGCTACCGTCTCTCCTCTACTGGTAACTGCGTTTAATCGCGCGCTATCGCCGCGTTTTATCGGATAACTCGATGCAACGGTTCAGCCTCGGAATCGAGCGCCGATAACCGGGCAGCAGCTAGCTCACCGAGTTCGTAACATTGTTTCGCTTTTCCCTCTATCTCCCCTCCTCCATGCGCGTCGTTTACCGTTGTGTCTGCTAAATAACGGCAAGCGGACCAGATAAACGCGTTATTGATTTGTACAATATCAATACAATCAAGTGGAACTATCGTTGCCGTCATTTCGCCTCGACCCGCTGGAATCGGATGGCAAGATATTGTCACGCGTTCCGTTATGCGACGTCCCAACTCGTTCAGAATTGACGATCGGTAGCTTCGAAGTTTGCATTATTCTCTCTCTCTCTCTCTCTCTCTCTCTCTCTCTCTCTCTCCATTCTCAAATCTACCTCTATGAATTAAACGAACTACAGTTAACGTTAGCTAATCTCGCTCCAAACGTAACCTCGTTCCGAATGTTTCATATTTAGACTTTCTTTTTTCATCTCATTAATGAAATGCCATTGGTACTCGACATACCGCCTAAATAAATTTGAGCTTCAGGATTCTGGTTGTTGATGGAGACTTTAATTAGAATTATAAAAATTACGGTGAAGAGTCTCATCGTTAATTCGTTAAATAACTTTTGTCCATTTTTTCCGGTAACGTTATAATCGATCGGTCGCCGCCACGGACCGATTATCACGGCGATCGAAATGTGAGTCGGGTCGGAGCGCTCTCGAGACCGAGCGAAGGTGGAAGGCGCGGCAAGGAATTACGCGGCAGAGGATTTCAGGCGTTCTACAGAGATATACTGTATATCTACATTAGCGAAAGGCCATCGCGCAGATTTACACAGAGCGTAGAAGCGAGTAAACGTAGAAGCGAGTCGGCTGGTCACCCACACACACACACATACACACACACACACACGTACACGTACACACAGGTATGCGGTGTCTATTGCGAGCCGCGTCGTGATAGGTCGACTTGTTCTTCTGTAAATCTGCGCTCGATGATCGAGAAGAGAGTCTCAGTCGGGAGGACTGAGGTCGCGCGACGAATCCTGTGAATCCTACATCCTCGTTTTGTATGCGTTATACGAAGACTATACCACCTGTACCCGTTTCCCTGCGACATTATACGTCAGCTAAAACTGACAAGACACGTACCACGAGCCACCCAGCGTCATTACACGCCGTAACATAGGATACACACGTACACACATGCACACGACAAACTCAGCAAATCCACCTATCGTTAGATAAGTCTAGAATCTAAGGCGATCCATTTAGATTATTATCTCCGTTGTCTATATGTGTATAGAAGAAGGTGCGTTTTGTTGTCACGATTTCGGAGCGCGCGATGGAAAAACACGGCGACGACGATGACGAGGTATGATTGGGGGAATACAATGGGTGGATATTTTGAATGGGTGTTTTTGCGTATGAGAGAGAGAGAGAGAGAGATACGCGTTTTCGTTTTTTGGAGAAACGGAAGAAGATGAATACGTATTCGCAAATAATGGAATAATGGAAGCATTTTTTTCGTTCGTGGTAAAAAAAAAAAAAGAAAAGAGAGAGAAGTTCGAAAGAATACCGCATTGTTTTTCGTTACAGTTACAAAATAGTGTACGTGTAGTTACTAAATAGCTACGTATATATATTACAAATGCAAACGGCAATCGGAGAGAGACACAGGTTTGGCGTTCCACTTTTCCGAGATATATAACGCGGTGGAATTATTCATGAATATTTATATATAGTAGCTCGTTTCTCCAAAAAAGAAGCGCACGCGGATTAAACTAGGAGGAAACCGATGAAATCTTGTTAGTATTCAGTACGTTCGCGGTGCTGGGCATACGAAGGACGGGCCATAAAAATTCGACAATGCCGACGACGACGACGTCCGTTTGGGTTATAACGGGTGTGCGCTTTGTGCCGAGTTCGACGTACGTTTGGCGAGCGCGTGTTTCCCGAGCGAACACGAAGAATGATATTAGCAATATTGCTCTCCTGCCGACTAGTCGCACTTTGCGTGGCAAGTTTTATTGCCGAGTAGCGACACATAAATATTGTCCTTGGTTCCTCGTTAAGATGGAGCGCGCGCGAAATTGCATGCGAGAGAGAAAAGAGAAAGCTAAGCAAGAGTGAGAGAGAGAGAGACTGCTTTAATAACATCGTCGTTGATTTTTTTTCGAGGATTTCTACAAATCGCATCTGAAGAAAAAGGCCTGCCATTCGCAAATGTTCGTTTATGTTTTGTCCGATTGCGTGCGATGTTTGTCGACGCTGTTGTATCGACATATTTTCGATTGCTGCATAAATGCGCTATTTGAGTTTATCGGACGTAACGTACGGCAGGAAAAGTAAAACACTCTTGGGACTGATTCACAAGCGACTATACAGGCCGAGCCTATTTTAAGACTAAGTCGTAAAAACGTTCGTATTTATACATACAAGCGGCCTTTCTTAAAGGCCTTTCTTATCTAGGATTTTTAACGAGTATGCCCGAGTTGTCCGGTAAAAAAAAAAATTTGAATGGAAGGATTAAAAAAAGGAAAACGTCATGTCTTACACGTACTGCACTTATTCATTGTCAAGAAATTGTCGCTTTCGCTACAGATGTTTTTGCACAGATTTCCTTCGTTGAACCGAAATGCGTAACTTTGGTTTAGACCACCTTTCTTGATTGCTCACAACAGCGTAACTTATAGCACGTTTTTTGCGCATTGTATTATTGCGAAAAGTATGCAGCTTCTATAAACGCATCCACGTTCTCGGATGACGAACACAATGCAGCGATCGTATAATTTTATTTGAGAAATAACCAAGAGATAATACAGCGCATTTGTTTTATGTACCTCTTTGCAAGGAACGGCGACTTTAGTCCAGGAAGATTCAAGTGTTTTTCGACGGATAGGAACGGTGAACGACGTCTGCTGATTTAGCCGCGGAACCTGTTACGAACAGTTTTCTGGCGATGCATCGGTGGAAGTGACCTAATTTATTTACCGTTCTCTAAGCGCATAAAAAATTTGTTAAGACGCTTACGCGAATGTCGCGGCGGAGAAGTGAGAATTGACGAATAAACGAAAGAGAGAAAAAGAAACGATGCGTATAGTCGTGTTTTTGAAAAACAATCCCAACGTCATCGAAGATGCTCTCGAACGGAATCCTCACCACCTGTTGACCGACGGAAATCGCGATGTACGCGAAAAAAAGAAATTTCTTTTTTTTTTTTAACATTATTTCTAATGTTCTAAATATTTAGGATTTCTATTTATAGTTACCGAATGACTGGAAAATACGAGGACGAAAAAATGGCAAATATTAGTAGAAAA